CTCCAGCTGCATACTTGTCTCAGTAAACCTCAACAGGGAGCTTATTCCACTGACGCCAGCACAGAGAGTTCCCAGTTCTACCGACATTACAGTTTTCAGAACCTGCTTTCAGGTAAACTGATGTGGAATGGGTAGAGGGTTACCTTTGCTGAAAAATGACATACTCCATAGTTTTCATTTTTTCCCTGGCTGTCAGAACATGTTTCCACAGTTTGTCTTAAAGCAATTGTTTTGTGAAGACAACCACAAAATTGGACGGTTTTATTTTCTGTTGCTTGGATTTCGATGTCGTTGCTGTACAAGGTTTAGGCCAGCAGCACACAGAACTGCATCTCAAAACTTCTGGAAAAAATACTGTCTTCCTGGAAAATACACAAACCATACTATACTACTATGTAAAACATTTTTTGGACTGCAAAACTGAAAAAAAAAAGGCCCAAAACCTCTGGGAATAGCAAGGAGCATAAGTACTTTTGGCTGAACTACCCAAGATAGAAATAAAAATGCCTACTGCTGATTTCTAAGAAATCTGCAGTTTGCTTTCCTCTAGCTATTTATTCTGATTTTAATATTAAGAGAAACCATAATTTATCTAATCACAAGCTCTGTTTTAAAAAAAAAGAAGAGGGGAAGAGAGAGTTGGGGGAAGGAGGAAGACTCACAAGTTTTTCTGCATCCTCCACCCCCAACTGATTACACAACTCTCACCCGCCTTCTTGTTCCTGTTCTTGATCATGACAATGCAAAGCTGACTAGCTGGCTGACTGCAGGCCACATGAAACAAGAAGGTATGTCCATCATGATCACAACCGAGTTCAAATGCCACAGTGTGCAACTTCAAAACAGCCTAGGACACCTTAACTAGATGGTTAACCACCTCAAAGCTCAAGCATCAGCAAGACTCAGGGTAAACCTCGGATATTTTAACCGTCTTGAACTATAAATCAGAGCTAACTCTAGCAAGTACAACAAGACATTAGCTAACAAAAATGGTAATGAAGTGTTTTATTAAAAATGCAGAGGTGGGAAAAAAAATTATATCATATTTTTTGGAGCATGCCACACATCTTCATATGTACCAGAATTACAAAGGCATTGAGTTTTGCACTGCCTCTTCCTCTTTACCCACAGCGCAGACCTTCTCCAGGCTGACCAGTCCAGAAGTTGATCTGAGTGGTGAGCAAGAAACAATGACCTATGGCGTATGGAGAAAACAAGACAGGAGAAGCAGTACTGACAATAGCAGAAGGACTGGAACAAAGGAGCAGCTAATACCAATCAACAAATCATGACCAGCAGCTATACTGACACCCCAAAACAAGCACTGCTTTGAAGCCTTATATAAAATTATAAAAATAGATTATTACTAAAACTAAAGCTAACTTGATATCAAGTCTAGTTACACCCATTCTGTGATGCTGTGAGCACAGACTGTCTACTTCTCAAATTTTTTTTTCAGAATCCCCTTTAAAAGGGACAAAGACTTAACATACAGTCAACACACTGAACCACAAGTTTGCATGGTCAAACTTTTCTTTTTTCTAAACAAAAGCCACACGTGCATAAAGAAAGCAAAGTAGACCCATGCCCACTGCTATCCACATGCAGTTTTCATTGTTGCAGACCAGTCCTCTCCCACTGCTTATCCACAAAGTTCTGGCATATAACCCATTGTTGGGACAAAGCAACGTCAAACACACGTAAGTGAAAGCAGAAATGTCTTTTTAAATAAGGCATTTTGAGACATTGTGAAACAGAGAAGCATGAAAAATGACATAATGGATAATGTGTTACTGTCATCACTAGCAAACAGTTTGAGCACACCCTGAAACTAAGGGATTAGGTGGGAGGAAGATTGCACTGAGTGCTCTTAACTTTAAAAGATGGCTTATCATTGGAAACAGTCTAATTGGAGGAGGAGAAATTGTGAAAACAGCTAACTGGAAAAAGGATTGTTATCCTTGATCTCAGCAGTACTTTGTTCATCGGCTACTGTCATAGTGCAATACCCCAGCTGCCACTCTGCTGACACACAAAACATGCCAAGAAGATCAGCAAGTAAATACTCTGTGTTTGGAGGGGAGATGAAAGCTCAAACTTCACCCATTGCAAAACCAGACATTATCAAAAAACCACCAAGCAACCTCTGAGATGATGAAGTACAGTTCCAGGAACACATGGAATCTGACAATTCACAAATAGGAAATGAGTGTTTGCTCCCACAGCTGAGGGGAACAGGTACAGTAGAGCCATCAGGGAAAGATGGGACTGGGTCTCTTACGAGTGACAGAGATACAGAAAGACCAGCACCACTCAAGAGTGACAATGCAGCAGAAACACAGCGTAAAGGGCAGGAACACTCTGTTCCTGTTGCCTCTGCATCTGAAATACGTAACATTCCACTCCGTGAGCCTCAAATCCAAGAGTATATGGAATTCAGGGAAAATCCATAAGTAACAACAGAAACAAATTATAGAAACGTCTTTGAAGTTAAAAAAACATGAGCCATCCTAAGAAATAATTAAGGCCTGAAAAGCAACACTTAGAACTTTAAAGTTTTTAAGGTCTACCACTTGAAAAGCTTAGTTTTGGATCAGGGTGGAGGGGAACTCACGAAGAATGAATCTGGCACAAATCATAGGCTTAATAACCAGGGGTAATGACGATAAACTAAAACCAATGGGAAACAGCAGCTATATGTCAGTAAAGTTTTCAGAAGAGAGACTTAGATTAAGGTCTGGACTGGTTTGCTAAAGGGAAGGAGGAGCAGTCTTATCAACTGGTACTTTGAAAGTCAGATTGGGGAAAAAATTACATGTAGGAACAGTTCTGTTCCAGCACAAGAATGGATCAAAATATGTAATAAATTTAAAACAAACCTTCTAGTTCCATACAATTAATATTGCATACACAATTAAAATAATTCTGCTATTTATGTCAAATTATCTAAAGTGCTGTATCCCAGATAATACATCAGCCATAGGTGACATTAAACAACTGACGCAAAAATTGAATTGCAAAGCTGCTCTATGGGTTCATTCTAAATATGCTTGCAGAAATCATAGGCTCTTGCTCTGCTATCCTCCTTTAACCATCCATATGCCCAAAGACAATATCCACTCTCAATGCTGCTTTCATGACTAACCTACTGGTGTTTACAATGAACTACCAGGGATGTCTAAGTAGAGAAGGAAAACATTCTCTCTCAGGGAACACTGAATTACTATTATGCAGGTCTTCTTTTCTGTCTTCTTGTTCAACAGAACTAGAAAAAGATGATTAATTGTAAATATAGAGAGAAGTTTCTGTAGGCTCACTTCTGCGACACTTAGAAAATGTCTGTAGAAATAGAAATGGCTGTAGCCCAAGACAGCAGCATGCCTTACACTCCCCCGTAGCGAGACACACCTACGCAGGTGCTGTGTGAAGCCATTCCATCCCATCACCGCTCCAAGATGGCCAGAGCCTACACAGAGCTAGGATGTCACAGAGTGATACTACTATGTAGCTAAAATACTCACAGTAAAAAATTACATAACCTTTATCAATATAACTGCATTCTCTCTCTTTAGAAGTGTTGACAAATCTTTTAACATTGACATAAATTACAACTTGTCATTACTTTATTTATTCTTTTGCACATCTCTTAACTAGACATACTTAAACTCAATTCACATCAAAGATCTTTCAGTTCTTCCACAGTCCAAGTCTCATTTAACAGCAGCACTCCCCTCAGTTACCTAGAAACTGTCAGCATCTCAATCCAGGTGCAAATCATTTGTATATTTCAACTACCTCCAGTGAAACAAAAAATTAGACAATTTCTGTTTCTCAGACTGTCAGCTCAGGCCTTTCACTTCTCTTCCCCCTGCCAGTTTCTCTACTTCCCTTCTGCTCCCTGCTTTCTCCAACAGCTGCTCCATCCACTTCTCCCCAGGAAAACACAGGTCCAATGCAACAAGTAGCTCTGATCTAGTGACCCCTCAGTATGACTGCTAGCTGTGATCCCAAGAGAGGGTTCCCTGTTTTCCCCCTTCCAGCACAGCACTTCCACGTTGCATTTTGCTGTAGAAGAATCCAAGAAGCTCCTTAAAGAATAAGAGGAGCTTTAAAAAGAAACTGGAAACCCATAAAAAGATGTAGCCTCTTACCTATCAGTTCTTTGTGGACTACAAAGCAGTATTTTTTAGTCAAAATATTCTTAGAATAACTGTTCCTAGTTGCAGTAATTTACCTATTTCATCTTTAGTTTCTCAAGTACATTCCCAGTGTAGTAGCATCTATATTATATGAAGCAATGAGGAATATAAATTAATAAAATTAATTCACAGAAATCATGCCCTAATAACATTTTCTTTGTCCAGCAGCACAAGACCTAAAAATAAAAACAAACTTGCTTTTAAATATTGAAAGTGGTGTTGAAAATTAAAAAAAAAAAGAAAACAATCTGGCTTTGAAAGATATCCCACCTTTTGGACAGTTATCAAAAAATGAATATTTTCATCTGTAGTTGTGCATGGAGCTCTAGAAGTGAACCCCCTCTGAAGCCAGTCGGCATCCCAGGAAAATACAAAAACATATGGCAAGTGTCCCCACGACATTAGGATCAACTAGATGCTAGAATAAGTGTCCAGGACCAGGGCCCCCACTCTGCAGAGCAGAGTGAGAGGGGCAGGGGAAATGTAACATACAGTCAACAAGAAAAAAGATCTGACTTAAAATAAACCTATTTTCTTTACCAACAAGTTCTAAAGTTGTATCTTGGACCATCAGAGCACTGACTGACAATCAGATCTCACAAGGGTAACAGACAGCGCTCCTGAGCCCGGTTCATTTCACCCGGCGCAGGTTCACCCACCTACGAAAGACAGGATTCCCATCTTCCAGAGAGAGTGAAAAAGGATGTAAAACACTTTATTTCCTCAAACATTCCAAATCAAAACTTTAGCAAGCAAGCAAGAACCTTTAGAACTGAGCAGACACACACACACAACACCAACTTACCAAAAAAGTATCCGCAAAATGTTTGCCACCAGTAACACCAGGCAGACGTAGGTGGAGAAGCCCTCAGCGGTCTGTGTCCGGCGGATGTCCCTGTACTGCGGGATGTAGGGCACCACGCCGCCGAACACCATGGCCCCCGCGG